GTAGGGGGAGAGGGGGGGGGGAGGCTAGGGGGGGGGGTGGGTATGGTGTGTAAAATTCCAAATTCCAGGGGGGGCAGCTGCCCCCCCTGCCCCCCCCGGAGGCTACGGCCCTGATCTCTCATTACTGCATTTGACAATTTCAACTGCTCCTCCCCTTTTGATATTATCTACGAAACAGATAACACAGAGAACGAACGCAAGAAAACAAACATGATAACATGTCAGGTAAAACATGTTTTAGATTAAGCATGACACATCTTTTCCGCAGCGCAGACAAAATGCATGATAAACAGCAAAATATACCTAGACTGTTTCAAGACATTTTCTATTATGGAGGCTGACATCTTGGATTTAACAGTTGGGGGTCTAGGTAAATTCGATACAATTTGGTAAGCTATTCACAGGTTATAATTCAGCATTGTACTGTTAGATGTTAAGTTAACAAAATTATTATATTTACATCATGTTCCAAATAAAAAAACGCTAAGTCTTTTAACAGATTTCAAAACGAAAACAATCTTTGTATTATTGTGCTTTCGGTGCTCAACGGAAATTGACTTCATTTTAAGCATGCGCATTAGATCCATAGCAACTGGTACGCCATTTTTGATCGTACATGTTACACAGCTCTAGGAACGTGGAATAATTAATATATTTTGCAGGTATGCATTTTTATTTCTAGAATATACTGACGGGCTCTATCAACCTCTTCCATTTTTGGTAAAAAAATGTAATTTTAAAGCAATTATTACACAAATTTGTTTAATTAACGTTATGTTACCTGCACTCGTTCAGCCAAGTTGAATTCTATTCCAACCGCAGTTTGCAATTTCACTGGATTGTTTTGAAAAGGGTTGTCGTTTTCTATTAATTTTAGGTTATAAGTAATCAAACACTCTCAAGATGGAGATTGTTTATGTCTATACGAAGAAGAGGGCAGAGTTTGGGCGGCAGTGTAATTTCTCTGACAGAGAAGCAGAGTTGCACATTGACATCCTGCCAGACCCGAAGGAGTCAGAGAATTACATCGAAAGAAACCCGGTTGATATCTCCGTACAATGTGCTGCTGAGATGTCCGAACATGAAGTATGTTTAACTGATAAGCATTAAGCATGAATTTTTAACTTTTAAAACTTGTCAAATGTACATTATTTATTTATTTATTTATTTATTTATTTATTTATTTATTTATTTATTAAATTTATTTATTTATTTATTTATTTATTTATTTATTTATTCATTCATTTTTATGAACAGATAGTGTTGTGTCTTTGTAAATAGCAATAGTCATTATCTGACTTTATTGCCAGAGTTGAGTTCGCATTATTATATAAAATAATTTGAAAACAGGCATGAATTTGTTTGAAACATTTTGGAGTTTTAGATAATGCTACAATTCAAATGTCAATAATAATTGGTGTAAAAAATTTGTTTCATAATGTGCCTGTTCTTATATATGCATTCTTGTTTTATTCATTTAAAGTAAACTGAGAGACAAAAAAGTTGTTTTTATTATTATTATTACTTGCATTTAAGATATTAATTATTCCCAATCAATTTCTCTTTCTAGATCAACACAGAAAGATTTGAGACAGAGGTAAGAGGAATCAACCACACAGAGGGTGGCTGGCCCAAAGATGTAAATCCACAAGAAGTAGAGCAAGTATTAAGATACAGAAAGAAAGTGGAGAAAGATGAGATGTACATCAACACTATTCAACAACTCAGCACTGTAAGTTATTGTTTGAATTGAATCTCAACCATTATAACATGAGCTTAATTTTTACAGAATTTGGAAAAAAAAGTGTAATACCAAAATTTGAGCCAGATAATTCAACCTATAATAATTTTCTTGCTCTGGATTCAATGTAATTTTATTTCTGAATAATGATGGAATAGGTTTTTGATTAAGGAAAAATTTGTAAAAAAAAAAAATCTGTGCAATTTTAGACAGCAAAAATTCTCAAAGAATCCTCTTTCAATATGTCGCTTATGACCAAGGCTTTTCCCAGGATTGGGGGTACAGGTCTTCCAAAATTATCACCTGTAATTTCAGGGAGTCCAAGCCATCATATTTCAAAACAATCATAACTGCCGCCCAGCCGTCTTTGAAAATATTGGCCGTCCGGTGATGCAGGAGGCTGTCCAAATGACAACTGGATGGTTTGCTAGGGAAAGCCTTGGTGATGACCTTTTAATGAAAGGAATACTTTATTTATTTGCTTCTAAAATTCTAGGTGATGGAACATTGCATCAAACAAAACAATGCTATTGATATCTATGAAGAATATTTCGATGATATTGATGTAGATGATATGGATGAAACACCAACAGCCAAAACAATCAATGTTTTCAGGTAGGCACACTTTAGTTTGCAATTAAAATGTACATTATTAGAACTTGAGATATATATTTTTTGTTATATATTACAAATAGTAAGTGTATATTTATCAGGTATTTATCAGGTATTTGCATATAACAGTTAACAAAGAATCAGTTTTTGAAAGAATGATTATCAGTTTGCATTGGTGATAATAATAATAATAACAATAATGTACAGGCTCAATTAAAAGCCATAATCAAAAAATTCTGTTCATTGCCAGTAGTATTGTTTTCATCATATTTCGCTTCTTGCAGAGATCCTTGTGATCCCAAGCGTACCAGCACACACATCTCCTGGTTCCCTGATGGTCCTAGAAAGCTGGCCATAGCTTACTGTAACCTGGAGTTCCAAGGGTCCTCCCCAGATACTAGCATGGACTCATATATANTATTCTTGTAAGCAAGGGGTAAAAATTGGAATAAAATTTCATAAAAAAGACAGTAAGAATATATTTAATTATTTCAGGCTTCTCCTATTGAAGAAGAGAAAGAAGAAGGAAGCGCTGAATAAAGAGATATGAAACGGCATTCCCCAATATGTATCAATACCTGTGTTATAAAATGTGATATCAATCCGAGCGGACATTTATCACCCAGACAGTTTTTTCAACATGAACATTGTCGTGTCATAATGAGTTTTTAAATTGTCTGTCAGTGTGAATGGATTATGTTTACTGGATACCAAGGAGATGGGATCTTCAGATGAGTGAATGTGTGACTTGGCCAGCAAAGCGTTTAAGCTGGCAAGGAATGGTTACACAAAATGGCATGCAATATCATCAGTAGATTGTTTATCTGAAACTGTTGCATTCGTCATTTTTGGCAATTTCATGGATGCTTTATAAAATGCTGTCTGCATGTAAAGTGAGCCATGCATTTGTTGAGCAGAGTGTAAATTGAAAGAATTCCAAACATTTATTCCTGACAGTGACAGTTTTTTAATGATAGCCTATGAAAAAAAGTGTTAAATATTCTAAATATGTTTGAAGTTTTTTATAGTTATTGTATTTATTTTTGCACTGTGAAAGGCATGTCAGTGCCCTTGGGATAATCCAGGGTGTGTTAATTCTGTATATATTTTAAATAAACAATATTGTACAAATTAATAGCATTTATTTTATTCTTATTTTTATGTTATTCTTATTATCATTGATATAAGGGGAAATAAAAAAAAACTTGCATAAAAATGTAATCAACATTAAACAGCAAACAAGTTGGTGTAACGCGAACTTGTCACGTGTCTTTTGTTTATTTACTATCTTGTTGCTAGACGCTTTATGACGTCATAGAAAATAAATTAATCCTTGCGCATTCGACCCAATAAAGTTTTTATTACTAACTGGCATAAGATGATTCTCTTCAACAAAAAATGTTCCTTTAAGATTACTGCTATTCTTAAATGCTACGATACTCGCACCAAAATGCGTTTTCACAGAGAAAACTAGGGCTAGTTTGCTGCGGAGTGATATCCGCCTTAGTGAGTGACGTGAATCAGAAGTCAAGATCCCGAGTGTGGAGCGAAGTCTGATTGTCAGTACTGACAGCATTCTTGTTGCAGGTTTTGCCTGGACTTATACCAGCTACGTTGGGGTGCATTTTCACATTGCACGGAGTTGCAATTGGTCACTGGAACCTTAGGCTTGTAGAAGTGCCCCCCTTGTGCTAAAGAACCCAGACTAACCACAGTCTTGCAGCGTGTCTGAGGCATGCATGACTTGTGAAGTTGCGGTGACTAATCGATTAATCCATTCGATCCGTCGATTACTCGATGATGTATGACCAAGTCGATGAGAGCTCAGTAGAATATACGTAGCCTCAATATTGTGATCTAAGAACCAGAGCTTAAAAATGACGGGCGGTGGAGGCGGCGGAGAACACCCCTTAACGGTAAGATACTAAGAAATCTTACTTGTTTGTCTGCACAGCGCAACTGTGTGGTTAATCATGCGTTTTCTTTATTTTTTATATATATAACGTTACGCTTTTTATATCTGCTTTATGAACTAGCAAAGTAGGTAAAAAACGAAAATAAAACTGTTAGCACAGGCTTTTTTTCTTGCTACAAATGGTAAGCTGTGCATTCAGTTTACTGAGTACCTGTACTTGGATCCATCATACTTGTACATCATGTACATTGGGTCCCAGCTGACATATACTTTGGTACAAGACCTATATTTATTAAATTAATAATATCACAATGGTATGGGTTCGATAAGACTAGCTTAACTGACCCAGACAAAGGAAAAGTCTTCATTTTAAAACAAATATTAATAAATTTCAGTATGAGCTTGGCTATAACTTTAATACCTAAACCGTAGTTTTTTTCCTTTTTTTAAATTCCCAGTCATTGGGAAGTTAATCAGACAATTCCTTTTATGTCTTCATGACTAAAAAATCACTATTTTTCATTGCTTTATTATTATAAATGTGTAGTCTATGTTTTTTAAAAGTTCAGTACAATTGACCTCATTAAATAATATTCAGAACAAGTTAAATGCTCTATCTATTAAAAAGAAGAAGAAAACAAGGCACTAGTATATTCTTCATTGTGTACTGTTTTGTTGTTTTTATGTGAAAATGAATTAAAAGGTTGATTTCATTCAAAATGGGGCTTTTTTCATTGTTTTGAATGTCATTTTTGTAGACATAAAATTAAATAAGATTAAAGTGCAGATTTAGAATTCCAGACATTTAAAAATTGCATTCATATTTTACACACTTGAAGAAATAGGTAATGTGACATTTAGCATCCTAAAAGGCAGCGAAAGAAGTTGCAAGTCAAGAAAATATCAATTGTGTCTTTTTGAAATGTCATTCTCAGTAGGCGGTGATGTGATTTCTTTTTTATCTCTACAGGTGGTTCTTCGAATCCGTCCTTTGATGAATGAGGAGGAACTGGTTGGATGTCATACATGTGCACACAAAGTAGACAACAATGTGAGTCAATGTAATGATGTCTTCATGTTGAAAATCAATTTCTTTTATTTTTCACTTATGTCTATATGTAAGTTCCTTTATGACCTTTAAAAAATTTTTTTTCATAGTACATTGGCCACAAGCATCGTTTTCAATGTTGGTTAATTTTTATTTATAAGATGAATTTGCCTGAAATTATATAGTTCTGCTGTTAATAAGATTAAAATAAGCTTTCCATGTATCTTGTAAATACTACCTCCATCCACTGGTTACCAGAAAGATTTCTTATGAAAATTATTCCTAATGCAGTGATTAATTGTATATATCATTTTGGACATTTTCACATGACTCCAATTAATCCCATAATCGTACGCCTATGGAATCCCGATTGATCCTCACACAAAGCGATATTTGCATGTGGCACCAAAAACAACAAACACTCGGATTAGCTACAGTGACCTAGAGCTTTGCTGTAGATACATTTGAAACTTTCCCAATAACAAAAACCTACAAAGGTGAATGTTTAGATTAGCGTGTTCCTTCAAGTAACTGAAAGAGAAAGGTGATAGGCAAGTAAAGCATAAACATCAGACAAAAACTTTGTCAACAGACCAGCTGTATTGGACTAGCAAAAGGTCATTCAAAAGGTTGCTTTGGAGAAATTATGAAACCAATGTGCATAGATAAGGTTGTGTGAACGGGGCGTGTTTGATCTGCTAGTATACACTGTTTTTGTTGGCTTTTAGGAACTTATTTGTACCATGGCACAGATCTTCACAAACTGTATTCTTTTTCAATGTTCCTTTTGTTAAAACTTTTTTCTTTTGTAGAGAATTAAACCCATGTTATAAAAACACATTATACTTCTGTAGACGGGTCATTGCACTTTAACATTCAGCACACAGTTTTTTATGGATAAGTGGCTGTATATTTATGAATTATTGACTATCTACTGCAGTTCAATACTCTCAGATTAATTTTGTTATTGTAGCTCATATTTATGTATAATTGACGTCAGATTATTTTCAGATTAAAAAACTATCAGTACTCGGGGTCATAGTGAATAGCAAAGAGATAATAATGTGCTGTTTGAGAAGTTGTTTTCAAACACAGTTGTTCTGAAAATTAGATGTAATAATTTGATATTATAAATGTAGTAACTTAAAAGTAGTAGAGATTAAAATATGAATGAGTGAAGTGCATCAACATGAAATCTTGAAGAGTTTGCTATTTAAGATACCTAACATTGAATGGCAAGTGGTTTAATGGAAATTAATTGATTGTATGTTTCACACAAGTGGTGTAAGCTTAAAAGCGTTAGGTATACTTACTTTGATAAAATATCTCCTAAATATAGCTAGCTTTATTGACCTTGGAAAGGAAATAAGAATACTCTTTCGGGGAATAAAGATAAGAAAGACATTAAATGAAGAAAAAGAGAGACAGAAAAAAGTATGAAAAAAGGATTAGGAAAGAGAAAAGGCGAGAAAACAGATAAAAAAATTAAACAAGACTGTAATAATTCTATAAATTTAAATTCATCATTGGCCTTTAGAACTATTCAGAGATTGTGGTGTTATATACAACTTAGATATCAACTTCTGAGTATTCAGAGATTGGCTGAACGGAAAATAAAAATGAATTTTTTGACCCTAACTAAATCCTTGGTTAACTAAAGGTGGTCTTGCTTTCTCGTGATTAATAAGTCAATCATTTCAATTATCCTTATTGGTGATATATTACCTTATTTAATTAAAACTTTCTTCTCCCTGGATTACCAGCCAGTGCTGTAATCGGCTTTACTATGTGGTAGCTGGCAGTGTAAGTTGAGGTGAGGTTTTCAATCACTCTCATGGGAGTAATGTCTCAATAAGCCTGATTGCCCAGTGTTCCCCTTTCAATCCAGACAGCTTGCAGGTGGAGTTTTGATAAGCTCCAGTTAATGAGCTTTTTTTCCCCCTGAGATGTACACAGTTTCCCATGGCAACTTTCCAAATGCAACTAAGGACAAGTGAAGTAAAAGCATGAAGTTGTTTGAAGACATTGTCAAACTCGGACAATGCATTTTTGAAAATTGTAAATTGGAATTGTTGTCTACTTCCTAGGACTATTAGCCCAAGTTTCATGCAAGCTGGAGGCCGTCTTGTTAATTTACAACTTGCGCAGTTACAAGTTTGACTTCAGTGACCTTAGAATAAATATTGGAAGACCACATAGTCAACATTTCTATTATATCATCTAATAAATGTTTAAATATATTTTATATCCTTTTAGCATTTTTTTCTGACTACATAATTTCATATTTCTTCCTATCTTCCTATCTTCCTTTTAAACCCTTTTAAAGCACAAAATGAAAAATGAAAATGAAATAAAAAAATAATTTTATGACATGATATAAGCATTTTTTTATTATTAAATAATTCCTCATTTTTTTATTTTTTAAAACTTAATGTACATATTTAATTGTTACAGATGGTCGTACTGATGGACCCCACAGAGGATCCTGATGATATTTTACGAGCCAATCGCTCTAGAGAGAAGAAGTACATCTTTGATCATGCCTTCGACTACAAATCTACAACGGTAAATATACAAACTGGGTTTTTTTTTTTTTTGTATATATGTCAATCTCTTAAAAATCAGTTATGAATTGATGCCATTGTTAACATTTTGGAAACAACAGACTGTGGGACAATTATCATATACCAGAACCAACAATTCTACGTCAATTTGTATCATATGTGCACATAATTGTTTCTTGCATTGCATTATGACATTTTGAAGGTTTCTCAAA